TGCAATTCCAGACCTGAAGGGCAGCTAGGGGCCATAGTCTCAGTGGTTCCACCAGGCTCTATCAGACCAGCAAACCTGGTCTCCCCCCCTTTTTTTATCCCCCCAAATGATTTTGAGTTTTGTCCCACATTGTTCTTGAATGTTAGTTTCTTCAATAAAAGGATGAGGGTGAGGCAGTTGCCCTGGACCACGATGCCTGCTACCCACATCCAGCCCTCACCTTCCTGCTGGTGCCTTCCAGACTTACCAAGTGTCCCTTCCATCCCCCCACAGAAAGAAGTGCACTGCATCAAGATGGAAAGCCTCTCCTTCCAGCTGGGCCTCTACCTCAGCCCGAGCTTCCTCCAGGCCTCCAACACCATTGAGCTGGGGCAGCTGGTCTTTGTGCAGGTGCTGAGTTCAACCCGTCACACCTCAGGCCCACAACTCCTGGAATTTCCCATGCGCCTTTCTTTCTACCATTAGAACAGAGAAGATGAGGATTGAACTTCCCAGAGGAAGGAGGGAGCCAGCACCTGTGTGGGGGAGAGGATAGACAGAAAAGACCGAGCTCATAGACACTGATAGGAACGCCCCCTTCTCTTCCTTATTTGTTCCTCGCTGGCCCGTGCCTTTCCTTCCACCATTAGGCCTCAGGGGCAAGAACTCATCATTCTAGCTTTTTTTCATGAGAGGAGGTAATGATGGAGGGTTAAGAGTAATTGTGCCTCATCTCCTTATCTACCTGTGCAGCTGAGCGTGTCCCAGTCCATCTCTGAGCTTGTGTTCCAGCTAGACAGCTGCCACCTGGACTTAGGTCCTGAGGCAGACACTGTGGAACTCATCCAGAACCAGGCAGCCAAGGGCAGCTGTGTCAGCCTGCTGCCCCCAAGCCCTGATGGTGACCTGCGCTTCAGCTTTCTCCTCCGTGGCTACATGGTGCCCACACCCAAGGCTGGCACCCTCAGCTGCACCGTAGGCCTGCATCCCAGGACTCGGTCCCAGGTGAGTGAGGCCTGGATCCAAGGCTCCAAGGTGGGCTGTGACAAGCCAGGGTCCAGAGCCACTGAGCCTGGAACCTGCCTCTCCAAAGCTATGCCACATACCACTGTCTCCTCCTCTCCCAGGAAGTCCAGAGAGTTGTGTCCGTGCACTTAAACATCATCAGCCCTGGCCTGACTGGTGAGTTCCCTCTGGGTTTCTCTTGGCTTCCTTCGAATGGCTAAAGTCAGAGTGGGGGTGTGAGGAACAGGATGGCCCCAAGGCACACAGCAGGAAGGATCTCCGAGAGAGTAACCTTGTGGAGAGGGATGGGTTGAGGGCTCCACAGAGTCCTAGCAGCCTAAGCTAGGATCCACAGCTGCATCTTATAGACCAAGACTCTGCTCATGACCAGCCCGGGACTCGATCCCAGGCCTCCAGCTCCCCATGTAGTGCTCTTCTCAATTTCCAGGGTTGGTTGGGGGGATGGCCTCCTGGAGTCAAGTCTCTCAGGTGGAACAGATGTCTTCTTGGAGTGGGGCCCCGTTGTCTGCTGGAGAGGGTTCCACCCCAGTATGGAGGATGCCCCTTCAGCCCAGTGCCTTTCAGCCCATTTGTTTGTGTACCTCTGGGCCTACGTGCCCATCAGACAGAAAGCGTCCCTGACACTAGGGGCTGAGGTGGGGGACACCCACCTCTTTGCCACCCCAGCCCCAGCCCATGACCACCAAAGTGGGGCTACTAAGCTCACTGCACAGCTGGGAGTTTGGAGGCCCATGGGGAGGCTACCTGGCCCATAGTCACACAGGAGTCAGGAGTGTGGTAGTCATGAGGCTTGGAACAACCCAAGAGCAGAGCTGAAGAGCTCAGAGTATGGTGCTCAGAGAGGGGCAGGGACTGACCTAAGGTCACACAGCAGGCCCGGACAGGCTTTGGACTCCCAGGCTGCACTGTCTTTGTCCACATTACACCATCCATTCTTCCTGAAAAAAACTTCTTCATTAGCCTCGAGAGGCAAAGGTATTGCACAAGAGGCCTGGATGACATACAGTTGTCATAGCAACTGTAGCTTAGTGCCACGCATGGGAGTGATGAGCTCATTTGCTAGATGAGGTTCAGAGAAGTCAGGGTGAGTGGCTGAGCTGTGACTGGCACCAAAGCCCCTGTTCCAGGTCAGCACGACAGGGTGGAGGGCCAGGGCTGGGCCCAGGAAGGAGGGGCAGCGCTGATCACAGCCCACCCTCCTTTTGTTGCAGACAAAGGGCTCGTCCTGCCTGCTGTGCTGGGCATCACCTTCGGCGCCTTCCTCATCGGGGCTCTGCTCACCGCCGCGCTCTGGTACATCTACTCCCATACCCGTGAGTATCCCAATTCCCTGTAGTGAGTGCTCAGGGCCCCTCCACCCCTGGGGGAGCCCAGTGAAGCCTCTGGGGGAGTGGGGAGTCCTGGCTGGGGCCCTGACCTCCACCCCTGCCCCGCCCCCAGATCCCCCTGGCAAGCGGGAGCCTGTGGTGGCCGTGGCTGCTCCGGCCTCCTCGGAGAGCAGCAGCACCAACCCCAGCATTGGGAGCACCCAGAGCACACCCTGCTCCACCAGCAGCATGGCTTAACCCCCAGCCTGGACCCCTGGGGGCCACCCAGACAGCCCTCGCCCAGCAGGAGAGACTGAGCAGCCACCAGCTGGGAACCACTGACCACAGGCTCATTCCGGACTCCAGCTCCTCTATTCAACCAGGGCTGGACCATGCCCTCTGTACCCTCTCCTCCCGACTCTCACAAGGCCTGTCAGCAGGAGCACCAGCTTGGAACACCTTGGGGTCCCTCCACCTCACTGAACCTTCAAACCCAGTGGGTCTGGGGTACGGCTGCCCAGGACCATGGAGAGAGAAACCACTGCCCTGTATGTCCACATTGTTGTAGGAACCTGAGTTCCTGTCATTTTAACCCATTCACTGAAGTGGGCTGAGTGGGAGATGAGAACTTGAACCAGACTCAATCCAGCCCACTGAGGCCCCAACAGTGCCTCCTCCTTGGGAACGAAAGACGGTCCAGCCCAGAGCCACACGGATCTGGCCCAGCAGCCTCCACACCTGTACTGGCACAGCTTGGTGGGGAAAACAGAAGCCCGGGGTTCCCCAGCTTGGAAGGCCAGACGGTGGCAGTGGGGAAGGCCTTAGCTTCTCCTTGCAACTGCCACACAGAGACCCCCACCCAGCCATCAGGTGGGCAGCTGATGGGGAGTGGCCAAGCTGCCTGGCAGGGACCCACCCCGTATACCCGCCGATAATAAATCAGACCGTGAAACCAGTGCTGGCAGGGTGAAATGGGGGCGTGTGATAGGGTATGTGTGGGGGTACAGGAGGGGCTGGGGCACAGAATGGGGCTGTTGTTGTCCTCAGCCCCCAATGGCCGAGCCTGGTTGCAGGCAGGGCATCCTCATGTTAAACAGGAACAGGCAGCCAGGCCACAGGAGGTGTGGACAAAACCCAATTCTCCCTCTGCCACTCTCATTCACTCACTTGGAAGCAAATCTCTGGAACCAGGGCTGTAAGAAACCAAAAATCAGGAGGCCCTGTTGACATCCTGGCTCTGGAGTTCTCAACACAGGCTCTGGTTTCAAATCCTGGACCTGCCACTTACTGGCTGTGTGACTGCTGGCAAGTCCCATGGTTACTTTAAGCTAGTCACAGGGACCTTATCTGTTAAGTGGGTATAATTCCTTAGTCACAAGGTCTCTGTGAAGAGGTCCAGAAAGCAGGAAGGTATTTGTCCAGCCTTCTCATTGCACAGGACAGCTGAGGCTCAGAGAGGGAAAGATTTGTCCCAGACCACACAGCCAGGCTCCTACACAATCCAGTACCTGTACCAGCTGTGGTCTCACCCCCTATTGTATGCTAAGGGAGCTAGAGATCAGGAAAATCACAGGTTCTGCCATTTCTTTAAAAAAAAAAAAAAAACTTTAATTTATTGCAACCATCCTCTACCCTCTGTCCCCAAGGGGCTCCAGGCAGGTGTCCTCTGCTTTCCCAGAAGGCACTGGAAGGAGGAAATCCCATCATGGGCACCCGGTGGGACCCCAGGCTTGGCCAGGCAGTTCACACAATACACTGGGTCTGAGCCAGGAGGCAGTGAGGTGTGGGGGGAAGATGGGCTGGGCTTCCAGGCCTGCTATAATAGTGGGAGAACTGGGAAGCCCCCTGGATGACTCAGCTGAGAGGGGACACATTTGAGGGCGAGGCCAAGGCACAGAGCAGGCACTGAGGCTGAGGGCACCCCAGGCTCAGTGACAGAGAGGTCTTCCAGCCTTCCCCTCTCTAGTCCCCTCTCTACCGCCCAGTGCCCAGATCTGTGTAGACAGAACCAGGACAGCAGAAAACAAAAGGCACCGAGTATAGTTCCGGAGAGAACGCAGGGCAGGTGTGGGCAGGCCCACCTCCAACCCCGCTGCCTCAGCTACTGGGACAGGGAGGGCTCCAGCAGCTTCAGGACACCACCCACCAGATGCAGGCTGCCCGTGACCAGCACATGGATGGCGGCAGCCTCCCGAAGTACACTGGCCCCACTGCTTGTCACGGGGTGGGTGAGAAGGCCCCGTGGGGGACTGGGTGGCTGAAAGACGGGGTCCCGGCCTTGGCTGATCCACTGCAAGGCATGGGAAATGCAGCTGAAGACAAGGGAGCTGGTGCTGTGGGCGTGGGGTGGTCGGGGTGCCAGCAGCAGGTGCGTGGGGCCACCAGGCTCCAGGCCGGGAGACCTCCAGAGGTCCGGGCTGGCCTGCTCTTCAGCCAGGTTGCTCCAGTGCTGCTGGTGTTCAAGGCAGCGGAGCAGCACTTGGTCCAGTGTCACTGTGAAGTTCTGCTGGTCTGCAAGGCAGAGGATGTGTCAGGAGCACCTGCTCTGGTCCAGGCCTTTTACTGCGTCATCCAACATACCCTCTAGCAGTCCTCACAGTGGCTTGTATGAGAAAACTGAGGCTTACAGAGGTTCAGTGACTTGCCCAAGATCTCAGAGCTACTGAGTGCATCTAGCTCCAAAGATGGGGCTTTTGCACACTGAACACCACTTCCCCACCCCAGGCTGTGCCTTCATCTGAAAAATGGACTGTTAACTGGGGTCCATCCCCAGCTAGGTTTAAGTACCTCGGAGGAAGTCAGTTAAAAATGCACATTTCTGGCCTTTCCCTGGACAGGCTGATGTGGGACCTGAGCATCTGTGTTTTTCACACGAGAGCAAACTTTTTGACTACAACCCACAGGGAAAAAGACATTTCACATTTTCACATAAATCTTCTGAGATCAATAGAGACAATGGATATGAAAGTATCTTGTAAAAATAAAAGGTGCTATACAAAATGTTTTTTAAAAAAAACAAAACCACACATACATTTTTGCATCACAATCCAGTATGTTATGTGTACGTGTGTGTGTACACCTGGAACAGAATCTTCATGAAATAGTACCCACCCTTACCTCACACAATGCACACTGATAATTTCTATCCTATTTAAAATAAAATGCTGGTGAAGATTCACTAAATTTATTTCAAGAACCATTAGTGGGCTGTAACCTGCATTTTGAAACTGCATTTTCAGATAATTGTTTTATAGTATTGCAGCCACATGGTGCCAAATTTTAAATGTACCAGAGGATATTTATATAATCCATTAGACTTCCAGTTCTATGCTTAGAAGCCCCCACTGTCACCAACAGAGCAGTCCACCTCAGGCCCTATAGTGCCCTGCCCCCTCACCTGCATTGCCTGTGGATGACACCTCTGTCAGGTTGGGGCAGAAGACAGCATAGTCAAACTGGCAGGGCTAAAAGATCAAGGGGGTAGATTTGGTGTTGGAGGCCAGAGAGGACGTTCCCAATCCAACTCCCACATGAGCCTCCATCTCTGGAGATGTCGCCCCCTAGCCCCAAACCCCGGCTGAACTGGGACAAGGCTGCAAACACCCAACCACACCACAGCACTTCAGTTCCCTGACCACCTCTAAATCCACCTCCGTGTACCCTGCCTGGCTTGTGGCCTGGATAGCAAAGACACTGCCCACCACATGGGAGAACTGAGGTTTGGTAGGGAGTCACTGGCTTAAAACCACTCAGCTAGTAAGCAGGCCCTCAATCCAGACTGGAGAAAAGCCTTTGTCTGTACAAACGGGCTACGAAGAAGAGTCTCAGCCTCTCTCGTCTGTGAAACGGGAGTGAAGAGCCAGATGAAGAACCTAGCAGGCACTTCAGCCCTAACAGCCGAAGGCAGCCTCAGGGAAATGACATCTTTGGCCCAGGGTCATATGCAATGACCAGACCTCCCCATGTGTCTGGTGTTTGTACATTTAATCAACACAATCCATAAACCAAAAAAACCAAACTCAACAGCCACTGAGTTGATTCCAACGCACAGCGACCCTCATTGGATTTCCAAGGCTCTAAATCTTTACGAAAGTAGACTGCCCCATCTTCTTCCTACAGAGCTGCAGGTGGGTTTGAACCACTGACCTTCTGGTTAGCAGCCAAATGCCTTACGTACTGCACCACCAGGGCTCCTTAACACCATCCATAAGTGAGGGAATGACTTCACTTTACAGTTGAGGAGAATGAGGCAAAGGATGAAGGGACTAGCCCAGGGCAATAGTCAAAGACGGGCAGCGCCAGCCCTGGGCTACCTACAGCAGACCCCCCCCCCCACCAGTGAAGCCCCTCACCTGCAGTAGCTTCAGCAGGGCTGCCCGGTCCCGGTCCCCGGTGGCATTGAAAAGCAGGACACGTACCTCTGGCCCACTGGGGAGAAAGGGAGAGGTCAGAAAGCCCTCTCCATCCCCTACTTCTTTGCCAGCCCCACCCCAACCCTTCCCTCAGGCCCACCTCTCTCCACTGGCCAGTCCCATCCCCTTACCTGAGACCTCACCCCTCTGCTGGGCCCTGTCCTGCCTCAGCTCCGCCCCTGCCCAGTACTAACCTGCTCAGCCTCTCCTGACCCTGCAGTGCCAGGCGGAACCAGCGCACGCAGGCCTGCACGCTGCTGGCCGTGTGTGCACCATCGAGGTACCAGGTGAGGGGCCCACGCCGCAGAACCTGGGTCCGGCCTGGCCACTCTGTGTCCTGAAGCCCTGGAGGCAGAAGGTAAGACAGCCCTTCAGTTGTCTCCTCCCTACCCATGTCCTCTCCCACCCCAGTCCCCCACTAGGACCCATCCTGGAACAGGCTCTCCCTACTCTCAGCAGCCCCACTGTTCAAGGGCTGCCTTTTCTGAGCTCTCTAGGGATGATTATCACATAAGCCTCTTAGTGGGCACCAGTCAGCAAGTGCTCTGGCTGCCTGACCTGGTAGAATCATCCAGGCACCCCTGAGAGAGATGCCATCGTGTTATTCCCATTTTGTAGTTGGAAGATCCTTAGCTCAGAGAAGTTAGGTCACAGAGCAAGTGAGTCATGGGATTGGGGTTGGATATGAAAGTCGACTGGTTCCAGAATCTTCTAATTACCCTGACACAGGGCCTGGCACACAGTGCAAACACTGGAACCATCTGATGAAGGGGTTTAACAATCAGGAGCACCTACTATGTGCTGACAGCTTTGGAGATGGCAAAGCAAATGACAGTGTTACCATTTTCAGGAACGTCATGGTCTGATGACAATGATAATGAAATGACAGTAGTAACAGCTACCACTGGCTGGACACTTTATCCTACACATCCATCATGCCTGGGCTCAGACCTTAGCCATGTCACCTTACTAAATCCTCACAGCACCTCTCTGCAACAGGTCCTTTCACTATCTCATTTGCCAAATAAGGAAGTTGAGGCTCAGGGACAATCCACAAACTCAAAGTCACAGAGATTGACTGGTTGTAGGGCCCTCAGGCACCAGTTCAAATTGACTCAACCTCTCCCCAACAGGAAACCAAAAGAAATATCTGAAGGGACACAAAGACAAGCTGGGCAGGAAGATCCCACTCACCATGCCTCATGTGGGGTGTGGGCTGGAACACGGGTGCCAGGGGCAACTGCCGCAGGAGACCAGGACTGGACACCTTCAGTTCCCCTATGTCTGTGGGGACAAGGGAGTGAGACCAGGTGTGCTCAGGACCCTTACAGACAGGAGCCAATGCCCACCCACTCACTTGCCCACTTACCCGGGTGGTCTTGTCGCTGCAGCCAGCAGCGGGCCAGCTGCAAGGCTAAGGCGGCATTGGACCGCTGGTGATCCCCCTCCAGGCCCAGGGTCAGTGGTGGTCCCCCTTCCTCTAGGACTTCCAGTGACGGGCACAGGTAGAGAGGACACTGCACAGGAGATGGAAGGCAGCTGGTCAAGGAAGCTACCACTGCCACGTTGGCCAGGAGCCTCCTCCCTGTTGTGTTAGCCCTCTCATCATCCCCCATTGACCAGAACCCACCAGGTCCTGCTCCCAGAACCAAGATGTATTCCAGCTGGATAAGCAGCTGGCCCAGTTCCCACTCCACAGATGAGCGAACTGAGGCCAGAAAGGATCAACTACTTGCCCAGTCAAGGTACCCATCCCATCAGACTCACTGAGATTTGCTGGGCACGCTCTTTCAGCACTGCCAGGGGACCATCGGGCTGCAGCACAGTAAAGGCGGGAACGCCACACTGTAGGGAGTCAGGGACAGGAAGACAGGGCTGGCCCCGGGTCCTTCACCCTTCCAATTCTGGTCCCACATCCTGGGTCTGAGCCACTCACTTCACCTCCCCACAAAGGGCTATGGGAAACCCTTGTCTTTCATGTTGCAATGGAGAGACAGAAGGCAGAAAGGAGGTTCCACTTGCCTGTCACCCTGCAGATGCCCAGGACCTTGTCCTGAGTCAGCCTTGCTTCCCTGAGCCTGAGGGTCAGGCCCAGATGTTCCATTTACCTCCCCTCTCCCCAGCCTCAATGGTCACCTTAAAGATTCCCCCTTTCTGCCATGCGATCTTCTCCATCGTGTCCCCCAGAAGGCTGATGTGGTCCATGCCAAGAGAGGAGACCCCACACACCACAGGCTTCCTACAGAAGACAAAAAGGCTGTGTGTGACACCCCCGCCCTGAGTTGCCAGGCAATGGGCAAAGCCAGGGCTCCCAACACCCCAGTCCTCATCCCAAGTAGCTGTTGTCACCTGATGATGTTGGTGCAGTCGTAAGCCCCACCAATGCCCACTTCCACCACCGCCAGGTCTACCTGCAGAGGACCAGAGGGCATGGCAAGGGGCACAGGGTACGCAGATACCATGTGGACACAGGGAGCCCCCAGCCTTCTGAGATTGCCTCCCTAGGGCCTCAGACGCAGGATTGTGGGGAACAGACACGCACCTTCTCCTGAAGGAAGACGTGGAAGGCCATGAGCGTGAGGAAGCGGAAGTAGGCAGGCATGGAGACACAGCTGCCGTCCTGTGGCACAGGAACACGTCAGGGTCTGGAGGCCTGCAGCCCCTCCTCCAGCACACAGGGTTCTTTGACATGCAGTGCCCTCTGGGCCCATCCACCCACTCCAGTGCTGCTACCCGGCCCACCCTCAGCCCTCCGGCATGGACACCTTGGTCTCCTCCAGGCGGTGGTAGAGGTGCCAGAAGTGCTTGGTGAAGAGCTCAGGGCTGATGGGCTGCCCGTTGATGCGAATCCGCTCACGCACCTGCACCAGGTGGGGAGAGCTGCCGGGAGACCTGGGGTCATCGGGACTCCCCTCCCGAGCTCCCCAGGCCTTCTCCCACCTTGCAGTCAGCCTTGCCTTCTTTTGGAAACACAAATCTGACTTGTCACTTCCCTGCTGGAAACTCTAGTACTCTCAAGAAAGCCCCAGCTCTCTGGTATTAAACTCACTCCTGTGGCTTCCAGCCATAAAAGATAATCATAAGGGCTGAACAATTACATCAGGTAGATACACTACTTGGAGTGATCAGTCGTGGGAGAACAGAAGGGCAGCTCGAGGGGCAAGACTGCATGGGAGCAAAGGACATAGGGAAGAGGTAACTATGGGGAGAAAGGGGGAAGAGAGCTGTTACACTGTGGGAAACTCCAGTCAATGTCATGAGACAAAATGTGTATGAACTGCTGTATAGAAAATAAACTTTCTCTGTAAACTTTCACCCAAATCACATAAAAATTAAAAAAAAAAAAAAAAAAGCAAGCCCCAGCTCCTCACTAAGGCCTCCAAGGCACCACTGTGCCTCACCTCTCCTGTGCCCCTAGCTCCCTCAACCAGGACCACTTTCAGTTCCTCCAGCCCCCTCTGCCTTTCTATCTCCAGCCTCCGCACCTGCCTCCCCTGTTTCACTTGGCTCGCTTCCACCTGCTCTACAGGTTTGGACTAAGATGGCCCTTCTTCCAGAAACACCCAGCCCCCACTCTCCAAGCCAGCCAGGCCCGTTCTCTGGGCTCTAGCAGCACCCCCTCGAGTGCTTTTCCCCATGATACATCAATCAGTCACTGTTAACATCTGCACCTATAACAACTGCCTTTCAGCCCCCAAAGGCAGGGCCAGATCTGCTGGGTTCAAGCGGCATCCCTCCCAGCTGGCCCACAATGATCCATGGGCCAAAGTTGTAGCTTATGGCTTTTACCTGGAAAAATTATTTTAAAAGACAGCTTGTTGTCTAATATTTGAGTCCTCATAGACCCTCTCATATTACAAGTCCTTCTCTTCATTTCTTTATTTGAATGAAGAACTATTTGGGGGAAGTATTTTGGCCTGAAATGACCTTGGCTAGTTTGAGATGTTGATGATCAGCTGACAGAACTGGTAAAATAAAAGGAGGGAAAAATCTTAAATGCCTCAACCACAAGGACAAAAACTGCTGTTATGGTAACTGGAGAGGTGTGTACAACACAGGCAAGAGGGACCCAGATTTGACCTCTGATCCTGTGTGTCAGTCTGGATGCCTGAGCTGTAATGAAGAGAGGGTGCTGTGTCGAGGCCTAAGCCACAGCGAAAGCTGGCAGCGTGGAGGCCTCCGTTCTGCTGCCCACCCCCACTGTCTACATATGGATGCCATAACTAAACCAACTGCTGTCCATCAAACTGACTCCGACTCATGGCAACCCCATGTGTGTCAGAGTAGAATTGTGCTCCATGGGGTTTCCAAGGGCTGACTTTTCAGAAGTAGATCACCAGGCCTGTCTTCCTAGATGCCTCTGGGTGGACTTGAACCTCCAACCTTTCCTTTAGCAGCTCAGCACATTAACCATTTATACCACCCAGGGACTCCAAGAACTATCCATAACGTTTAAGCCACGCTTTCTGCTCCTTACCTCAAAGACAAAAATAAAGAGTAAGCTCTATGTGATTTAAAAATTGTATGTGGAATTTAAGTTAATAAAAAGACATCTGACTATTCTAGCTATGTCTTTTGCTTATATAGTCAAGTTGCCTTTCCCTTCCAACATTCTTTCATTATGAAAATTAAGGACTGCCACACACGTGGGTCAATAAGGTTAAGTGCTAACTGAATGTCTGTTAAATTAATAAACACTCAGATGACAGGCATGCAGCTGAGCTCCTGGGGGGTGAGCCTGGGCCTGGGGTGCTGGCTGGTTCCACAGACTCCCAGCTAGAAGAAACCATATCCCTCCACACCTCAGTACCTAAAGAATCCTGTCTTTAGGCCATAGTTTCGGAGGATCCGCTCAGTGAAGGCACACGTGGAACCCTAGAGAGAAAAGGTATTGTCTGGGCAAACCTCACCCCATCATGCCACTAAGCTGATACCGTATCCCCAAGTCCTCCCCCTTACCTTCCCCTTGGTCCCAGTGACGTGGATGATGTTCAGCTTGTCTAAGTCCTCCACCTGGACAGAAAGACAAGGTCCTTGCCTCAGTCATGCGAATGACAGACAGGGGTGGAAAGGTGGGGTCACAAGCCCTGCTTATCCAGCCCTGCTTACCTGCAGCCCACTACGTGCCAGATAAAGCACCATGGCTTCCAGTTGTGTCTGGGGGTCACCCCGCTGACGCTTCATTTGCTCCAGGTAACCAGCATTGGTCTGCAGGGTGTTGAGTGTGCGCACAGCATCCTGACAACCACAGTTCCCAGGCAGCAGGTTAAGGATTGCTAGGGGTCCATTGATATAAGGTACCTGGACACCAGTGGCCAGGACAGGGTTCCAAGCCTGTGATGCCAGCCCTCTCCCTCCTGCCTAAAGGTTAGGCAACAGGAGAGAGAGAAGTGGTGTCTTTCCAGCTCTGACAGAAATAGGAGCCTGGAGCAGTCAGCCCCACCTAGGGAGTGCCAGACCAAACAAATGGCATGACTGTCTAATGGGGCTAGCCTTGCTTTCGGGCTCTTTCCCTCATCTCCTCCAATGGGGTCCGTCATTGCACTGGGCACCTACTAGGGTAGGCGCCAGGAGGCGGAAGACTGGGGGGCGGAGGGGGACCACACTAGGGTTCTGGAATTCCTGGAAGTGTTCACACTTAACGCTGAGGACTGTGACAGTCCCGATTGTGACCCAGAGAAGCACTGCTTGAAGCAACCGGGTGGGAGAGAGAAAAAGGCTCAGACGGAGGAAGGGTGTGCCAGGGTCACCCAGGCAGGAAGGAAGGCAGGTCCACCTCATGTGCACTCACACTGGGGGCGGGCGCTTATTATTTCCCCTCGGGCAGCAGATATAGTGTCTCTTGCTCTCAGGACCTCAGTGTCTGGCTGGTGGGTGGTCCAACCCACAACACCCTACACCCCCCCTTCTCCCATTCCCATTAGCAACTAGTTTCTGGCACAGCACCATACAGAAATTTTCTGTTTCCAAGAGTTGTGGGCTCCCCAGGATTTTTGCCTGCCCCCAGTTCCAGGCCCCTGGATCCCCATTTCTCTAAATCCTGAGCTCCACCCCCAGATTTATACTTCCTGATCCTTCAAGTCTGAATTCCTGGATCCCTTCCTCCTCTCCCCTCACCTCGCACTGAGGGTTCGGACTCCAGGATCACTGGAACTCCAGAACCCCAGCTGAGCCCCTGGACCACCGGGTCGGTGTATCACAGGGTGCTCCTTCCCTTAGCCTCAGAATTCCCTGATCCTGCGGCCCGGGCCTAACTTTCTACTCCCTATCTCCATCCCCAGACTCCAGGATATCCCCAACCCTCTAACCTTAGTCCTATACGTCTAGTCCCCCCGACTCAGCGGGTGGCGCCCGGATGCTGAGTGACTCAGGCCCGGCTCACGTGTCCTCGCATGACCTCCCGCCAAGCCCACGAGATACCTGATACTCCATGCCGGGCTCTTGTGGCGCCGGCCGCGCGCTTAACCCTCGCCGCGCACCGACCCCGGTAGTTGCTCCGCGTGCAGTAACCGCTGCCAGGAGTAGGGCTGAGTGCAGGTGGCCCCGCGCCCGCGACATACTCCCGGCGTAGACGAGGGCACGCTAGGCTGGCGCGGGAGACGCCCCGCCCCGCTTTGCCCCGCCCCGGCCTAACGCGCCCCCGCCGTCCACCAATCAGTGCCGCCCAATCACTCCGCCGGCACCAATAAGAATCCAGTAACTTGCGAAGGCGCCATCCTATTGCGGGGCAATCCTCAGAACCGGTCGGAGGAGCTTCGCCCATGTTAATGAGGGGCATTCTCCGTGGAGCCGCTTCTCCCGTAGAGGTACACAATCCTCCCAAGAACCCCGCTGCACCCCTAAGAATAGCCTATCGCAGTGGGTAGCCCTCAGCCTGTGCTTTAGGCCAGAACTAGCCCCGAGAGGGATGGACTGACAAGATCTGGCCAATACCTTGAAATCATGGAGTCCTGGCCCGGAGATGTCCCGATTAAACGCAAAGACCGGAGGTAGCGGCGATGTGGCCTCTGCCCTCCTAATCGGACACCTTAATTGTAGGAGGTGGACTAAAAGCCAGGCACCTACGCTACTGGGGCCCTAACGGACTCTGGGAGCCCGAGAAAGCTTCCTGGAAGTGGCATTCTGGCTGAGGCCTGCAGGATGGGGGAGAGGTTTCCAGGTAAAGAGAGAGAACCATGTGTGCAAAGCAATAAATTGCAGAGGTTGAGAACCGGGCACCCATGGCAACTGCATTTAGGCCTAGTTGGGCCTGGTTCTTCCTGAGTACAGGGAGGACACATCCTACGGGTTGGGCCTTGTACTCTGAGTGTGGATTATATAGTGAGAACAATAAAATGGTTTTAAAGAAGAGATGACAAAATCAGATCTGTGCTTTGGGAGATCCCTCCCACTGCTGCTGTGAGGAAAATGGATTCCAGGGACCACCTGGAGCGGTGCAGTCACCTAACCTACCTATGGGTGAAGAGGACCCGACCTCTGTTTGTTTTGGAGTTTTCAGAATTCCCCCTATCTGTGTCCTTCTTGACTCCAGCTGTTATGCTGAAAAAGTAACATGATGATTCTCTTTTTACAATTGAGAAAACCTGTGCCCAGAAAGGGGTCAGGGGCTGCAAATAGAGCTCGAGGGACCATCCCCCAGCTAATCCTTCAAAAGGCTGACGGGATTTAAGCTAGTGAGGATGGGACTGAGGCGATGGGGAGGTCCCATTATTGTTTGAGCTTCTGCTCTTCACATCACTGTTAGGAGCAACCCCACCCCTGGCTCTCCAGCAAGAGATAAAGACATCCTTTCCTTTTTTTGGTTTCCTCTTCTTTTTATTCAATCGTTAAAAAACTGTGTCTATATATGTACCTAAAGGAGCTGTGTTGGCATAGTGCCTAAGGCATTTGACTGCTAACCAGAAGGTTGGCAGTTCAAACCCACCAGCCATTTGCAGAAGGAAGATGGGGCAATCTACTTCTGTAAGGATTTACTGCCTCAGAAACCCAATGGGGGTCACTATGAGTCAAAATTGACTTGATAGGCCAGTGAGTTTGGTCTTTTTTTTTTTTTTCAGTTATACATATACCAAAGGAGTTCTGGTGGTATAATGCTTAAGGCATTTGGTTCCAACCCACCAGCTGTGGAAGAAAGATGAAGTGATCTGCTTCCGTAAAGATTTATAGCCTTGGAAACCCAGTGGGGGCTGCTGTGAGTTGGAACCGACTTTGTGGCAGTGAGTTTGGTTTTTAGTGGTTTTATACATCAACTAGTTGCTGTTGGGGAGCTCTGGTAGCATAGTGGCTAAGACACTTGCCTGCTAACCAGACGGCTGGCAGTTCAAACCCACCAGCCACTCCTCGGAAGGAAGGTTGGGCAATCCTACTTCCGTAGTGATACTGCCTCGGAAACCCAAGGAGGGGTCGCTATGAGTCGGGTTTGACTCGACGGCACATAACAACAACAACAACAGTTGCTGTTGAGTCAAATCTGATCCACGTGTTTCAGAGAACTGTGCTCTGAGGAACCCTGGCTGTGACCTTCAGAAGCAGACTGGCAGGTTTTTTCTCTGAGGTGTCTCAGGGTAGATTGAATCACCAACATTTTGGTTAATAGGTGAGCCATGTGTGCTACTCAGGTATTCCAAATATATGTATACATGCATATAACTTAAGTAAATGAACAAAAATGATAAAGAAATGTTACATTTTTCTTTTGCTTATTTCCCACAACTCCATACTATCTAGCTTAGTAACACTTGTTGATAACCAAGAATGTATCCTGTATTTTTCAATGCTCCTGAAATCAGACTGACATCTGTAAGGTCTTGTCAATGCAAAGGACCATTTTCTGCATCTTAACTTTCTTACTCAATAATAACCATATAGGCAGGGGCAGATTACCCAGTGATTAAGGTAAGCATGGGCTTACTTGTGGTTACTTACTAATCAGTAGTAAATAGTGTCACATGTTTTTCACCACATCTTCCCTTCCTTACTGGGTACTCCTTGACTGTCAGGAATTGTAAATTTGAAAAGAGACTCAAATTCTGTAGGAAGGTACTGTGGGGTTGAGGGAGGAACACATGCCAGTCAAACCTAAAGCAGAATCTTTGAAATGGTTAGGGGAGAAAAAAAAAAAATGAAATTATTCACTGAGGAATAATCAGTAAACACAAGTAAGCCTGGGTTTACCTTGCCTATTAGGTAAACAGTCCCTGCTAATAGGGCTCCCTCTAAGACATTTAAGGAGCCCTGGTGGACCAGTGGTTAAGTGCTTAGCTGCCAATGGAAAGGTTGGCTATTTGAACCCACCAGTTGCTCCGTCGGAGAAAGATGTGGCAGTCTGTTTCCATCAAGATTACAGCCTTGGAAACCGTATGGAACAGTTCTGCTATGTCCTATAGGGTCACTATGAGTTGGGATCAACTTGACAGCAGTGGGTTCTAAGACATTTACTAGCAAACATTTAAGTAGCATTCCTTGGGGCCAGACACTGTTCTAAACAGTTTATCCAGAGCAGCTCATTTAATCCTACAACAAACCTTTGAAACAAAAGCTAACATTATTATTATTATTATTTCAGACAAGGAAATTTAGGCACAAAGGAATGACAGCACCTGTCCAAGACACAAAATCGAGAAGAACAGCCCCACAGTCCTTACTTCTAACACTGCAACCTTTGCAACCTACCAGCCATATGTGAGGAGAACATCGCTTTCCCAGGATGTCCCCCAGACCACTGATTGTTGCTGTTGTTGTTATGTGCCATCGAGTTGGACCCGACCACTGATTATAAAGTGCCATCTCATTTTCGTTGTGCACGTCCCTGACCTTGATGAGCTCAAGCATCTTTCCATGCATTTATTTCGGTGAGCTGCCTCACTCTCCTTGGCCCATTGTTCTAAAGTCTGTCCATCCCTGTCTTTTGTCAATTACAAAAGTGCTTTGTGTATCACAGATAATTGCCCTTCTGTTATGTCCTCTGTATGGCGAGTGTTTTTTCTAGATCTGCTATTGGCAGCCTCAGTTGATTCATCTGTAAGAGGGGGAATGGGAGCTCCAGGCCATTCCTTCAAGAATTTAGTCCCAGGGACACACTCCCATCTCGGGTGTAAGGTGGAAAACCCCACTCAGCTATATTCCTGACTCTTAACTGACTTCTTTCTCCCTACCCCCAGCTAAGAAGTGCTTGTAATTTCTTCCCTGTAGCCTGATACAGGCCTTTTCTAGCAAGGGACAGAGTCACAGTTCTGCCAACCTGGCTTGTTGTACTGCAGACCTCAGCTCCAGCTTGGAAATAGAAATAGATTTACAGATACGGAGGACAAGAGACAGCACAGAAAGTCCCAGGGATCCTACTTGGAGTCATCTCAGTTGTGCAGTGGTGGCCAGGACATTGGCAGAGTCACCCAGTGGGAGGTCGTATGCTCCCTGGGCCTGTTTCCCCAACCACTGCCCAATAAAGGGCTAAAACTCCATGGTCTCCAAAGACGATGTTCATAGTCAGTGAGCATAGGAAATTTATCTTATTGTAATCCTCTTTTTTTTTCTTCCAGAAGACAATAGAATAGATTCCTCTTGTTTTCTTTATAATTTATTTTTTATTTTGCTTTTAAATTCTAATATTTTAAAATTGTGCTATGGATTAAATTGTGCCCTGCCCCCCAAAGCACATATTGCAATCCTAACCTCTATATCTGTGGTTATAATTCCATTTGAGAATGGTTGTCTTTTTTAAGTACTGTATAGTGTGTTTTAAGTGAATCCCTTTTGAGATATCAAAGAGATTAAACAAGGAAGCAAAGCAGAGATGAGAGAAGAGAGATGCCAAGCCACATGAAGATGGCCCAGGAGCAGAAGCTAGGACCTTCCTCCAGAGCCGAGAGACAGAGAGAGAGAGAAAGAGAGAGAGCCTTCCCCTAGACCCAGCACCTGAGTTCCAGCCTCCTAAACTGTGAGAAAAGGAACTCTGGTAGCACAATGCCTAAGGCATCTGACTGCTAACCAGAAGGTTGGTGGTTCAAACCCACCAGCCACTCCGCGGAAGGAAGACCAGGCAATCCACTTCCATAAAGATTTACCACCTTGGAAACCCAATGGGGTTGCTATGAGTCAGAATCGACTCAATGGGAGTGGGTGTATTGTTTTTTGGTTTTTTTTTTAACAGTGAGAAAGTAAATTTCTGTCTGTTAAAGCCACCTATTCATGGTATTTTGTTATAGCAGCACTAAGTTACTAAGACAAATGGATAATGCATTATATTATTCAAATATTTACAGGTACAAAAATGTGTACAGTGAAAAGTCTCCCTCCCACCTCAAGTTCCAGCATCTCAATTCCCCTCCCTAAAAGCAATCAATGGGATCCGTGTTTTGTTATCTTTCGGGAGACATTTTATGCATTTACAAGCAAATACAAAACACATTTATTTCTCTTAATACTCACAATGCTATGCATATGATCTGCTCTATGCTTTTTCCATATAACTGTGTTGCTTGAACGTGCTCTGGTGGCACAGTAATTAAAGCACGCAGCTGCTGTGATAGTTGGAACTGTGTGTCAGCTTGGCTGGATCACAATTCTGTGTGGTATAAGCATTTGTGATGTGGATTATTCTCATGATAGGATCG